GACTCAGGTGCTTCTCGCTGTTTCTTTCGTGACCGCACTGCCCTTGAGCCGCTTGCTCGGCCAGTTGCTGTCTCCCTCGCTGACCCCTCTGGGGGTCCGGTCATTGCGACCTCCTCCACTGTCCTTCCTTGTCCTGCGGTCCCGTCGAGCACACTGTCAGGTCTCCACCTCCCCTCGTTCTCTACGAACTTGGTGGCGGGTTGTGCGCTCCAGGACGGGGGTGTTCACCAGTTCACCTCTGCCTACGAGCGCGTGACACACTGCACGTGTGCTCGGACGGGCCGTCACCTGGCTACCTTCACTCGGCAGCCGGGGTCGGACCTGTACACACTGACCACTGAGTCCCCTCAGGTAGCTGCGTCTGCGTCTGCGTCAGGTCAGCTGTCGGCCCCCTGCTCGTGTCGCTCTCTGGCGCACGAGACCGTCCTCTGGCACCACCGACTTGGTCACCCGTCCGTGCAGCGCCTTCGTGCCATGCACAAACGGTACCTTGTCTCTGGTCTTCCCAGGGTTCTCCCTCCCCTCCCACCCTCGCCTGCTCCTCCCTGTCTTCCCTGTGTCGAGGGGCGGCAGCGCGCCGCTCCTCACTCCTCCTCGTTTCCCCCGACGACTGCTCCCTTGCAGACGCTCCACATGGACGTGTGGGGCCCAGCCCGTGTCCGTGGTCAGGGTCAGGAGAGGTACTTCCTGATAGTTGTTGACGACTACTCGCGCTACACCACGGTCTTCCCCTTGCGCACCAAGGGTGAGGTCCCTGCTGTTTTGATCCCTTGGATCAGCGCTTCTCGTCTCCAGCTCAGCGAGCGTTTCCACTCGGACTTTCCTGTCCTGCGCTTGCACTCTGACAGAGGTGGTGAGTTCTCCTCCGACCTCTTGGCAGCCTACTGTGTGGAGCACGGCATCCGCCAGTCGTTCACGCTTCCGGCCTCTCCACAGCAGAATGGGGTTGCTGAGCGCCGCATTGGCTTGGTCATGGAGGTCGCTCGTACCTCCTTGATCCATGCGGCTGCCCCCCACTTTCTGTGGCCGTTTGCAGTCCGATACGCTGCGCATCAGCTCAACCTCTGGCCCCGTGTCTCCGTTCCGGAGACTTCGCCGACACTGCGTTGGACAGGAGAGGTTGGCGATGCGTCACGCTTTCGGGTCTGGGGATCTCGAGCCTTTGTTCGCGATACGTCCGCGGACAAGCTCTCCTCCCGCGCTGTTCCTTGTGTCTTCCTTGGCTTTGTCCCGGACGCGTCTGGTTGGCAGTTTTACCACCCCACCTCGCGCCGTGTCCTGCCTTCTCAGGACGTCACTTTCGACGAGTCCGTCCCCTACTACCGCCTCTTCCCCTACCGCACTGCCCCGCTTCCCCCCCCGCCTCTCTTCCTCGCGCCAGGTGCTGCTGTGGTAGACCCCCTCCCCCCTCAGGGTGCCGCTCCCTCAGGTGTGTCCCAGGTAGACCCGGTTGAGCCTGTCGAGGTAGCTGTCGACTCTCGTCCTGCTAGGGGTGCTGAGCCTGAGAGTGCTGAGCCTGAGCGTGCGGAGCCTGGGGGTGCGGAGCCTGGGGGTGCGGAGCCTGGGGTTGCGGAGTCTGGGGGTGCGGAGCCTGGGGTTGCGGAGTCTGGGGGTGCTGAGCCTGGGGGTGCGGAGCCTGCGGGTGCTGAGTCTGGGGGTGCTGAGTCTGGAGGTGCTGAGCCTGGGAGTGCTACACCTGGAGGAGCTCTCTCCTCACAGCAGCTGCGTGAGTGGTACTTACAGTACTGCAGCCTCAGGAGAGGTGCTTCTGGAGCCAGGAGTACTGCTGGAGCTGGTGCTAGTGCTTCCCCTCCTAGGCGGGAGCTGCCCTCTCCCCAGCGGCTCCGAGAGTGGTACGCACGGCGCTGCAGTCTTCGGAGTGGCGCTCCTAGTGTCGCGGACCCAGCTGCTGGAGGTTCTGCTGCTGGCGGTGCTTCTGGCGCTGCTGGAGGTACTGCTGGTGCTGGAGCTGCTGGTGCTGCTGACGCTGCTGGAGGTGCTGCTGGTTCTGGTGGTACTGCTGGTGCTGCTGGAGCTGCTGGAGGTGCTGCTGGTGCTGGGGCTGCTGGAGCTGCTGGAGGTGCTGCTTCTTCTGGAGGTGCTGCTGGTGTTGCGGACCCTGGAGTTGGAGCTGCTGCTGGTGCTGAGGACCCGGGCGTTGGAGCTGCTGCTGGTGCTGCGGACCCGGGCGTTGGAGTTGCTGCTGGTGCTGCGGACCCTGGAGTCGGAGCTGCTGCTGGTGCTGCGGACCCTGGAGTTGGAGCTGCTGCTGGTGCTGAGGACCCTGGAGGTGGAGCTGCTGCTGGTGCTGAGGACCCTGGCGCTGGTGTCTCTGCTGGTTCTGGAGACGCTGCGCGGCCGCGGCCGTCCTTCGTTCCGCTCCTTCAGCAGGTTCTTGGTCAGCCTCCTCCTCCTTGTCCTCCTCCCTCCTTAGAGTGTCCTCCGTCTGTCCAGTCGCAGTCACAGTTACCGTCTGCCTCCCCTCTCCCTGGTCCTTCTCCTTACACTGGTCCGACTGGAGGTCTTACGGAGCGTCGTGAGCCTGAGTCTCGTCCTGCGTCGCCTGAGTCTCGTCGAGCGTCGCCTGTTCGTGCTGCTCACACTGGTCGTCGTGTCCCGCGTCAGCTTCCTCCTGCTGTCCCAGGCACTCACCAGATGGCGCTTCGTCCTTCCACTGCTCCCCAGCGTGTCCCTCTCCCGTCTCCTCCTGCGTCCTCTCTTCCTGCTCTTGCTGACCCTGAGTCTGACTCCCTTCGTGCTGCCAGTCCTACTGTCACGCGTCTCCTGGCTACTGTTGTCACTGACCCTTCCTTTGAGTCCACTGCTGCGTCTGCCTTAGTTGCCGAGCTTGTCGACTTTGCTGCCACTTGTCGTCTAGACTACGCCGCTAGCCTAGTTGCTGAGTCTGAGTCTGTCTGTCCTCCGTCCGTCGGGGGTGAGTGTGCTCTTGGCACGGACGTCCTTGAGGACAGGCAGGAGGAGTTTGAGTGCTTTGCCGCTGCTTTACCTCATCTCGTGTCCATGCTAGTTGCCCCTGAGGGAGACCCGGATGCACCAGACATCCCGACTCCGCGCTCTTACGCAGAGGCGATAGAGGGTCCCTACTCCTCTCAGTGGCAGACAGCCATGGACGCAGAGATGGCTTCCTGGAAGTCCACAGGCACCTACGTCGACGAGGTTCCCCCACCTGGGGCGAACATCGTCAGTGGCATGTGGATTTTCAGGGTGAAGCGGCCGCCGGGTTCTCCGCCTGTCTTCAAGGCGCGTTACGTTGCACGAGGCTTCAGTCAGCGAGAGGGAGTTAACTTCTTCCAGACCTTCTCCCCGACCCCGAAGATGACCACTCTTCGGGTTCTGCTGCACGTCGCCACTCAGCGTGACTACGAGCTCCACTCTCTTGACTTCAGCACTGCTTTCCTACAGGGCAGCCTGCACGAGGAGATCTGGCTGCGCCGCCCACCTGGCTTCACTGGGTCGTTCCCTCTTGGTACCCAGTGGAGCCTCCGGCGGCCAGTCTACGGTCTCCGACAGGCGCCACGTGAGTGGCACGACACACTGAGGACTACACTTGCGGCTCTTGGGTTCGCTCCTTCTACTGCTGACCCGTCGCTGTTTCTACGCACCGACACCTCGCTGCCGCCGTTCTACATCCTCGTGTACGTCGACGACTTGGTCTTTGCCACTGCTGACACTGCGGCACTCGCCCACGTGAAGTCGGAGCTGCAGAAGAGACACACGTGCACAGACCTGGGTGAACTGACAAGCTATCTTGGCTTGCGGATCACCCGGGACAGAGCACGGCGCACCATCACCTTGACTCAGTCACACATGGTGCAGCAGGTCCTTCAGCGCTTCCGCTTCACGTACTCCTCGCCTCAGCCCACTCCTCTGCCTACCGGTCACTCGCTCTCAGCTCTGCCTTCGGATGAGTCCGTAGAGCCGAGTGGCCCGTATCCAGAGCTTGTGGGCTGCCTCATGTACCTGATGACCTGCACTCGACCTGACCTTGCATACCCTCTTAGCATCCTTGCACGCTATGTCGCTCCTGGCCGTCACCGGAAGGAGCACATGGATGCCGCTAAGAGGGTGTTGCGCTACTTGTGCAGTACGTCGGGCATGGGGCTAGTGCTTGGAGGACGAGACCGAGTTGTACTCACTGGGCACTCAGACGCGTCTTGGGCTGACGACCAGGCTACTCAGCGGTCGTCTCAGGGTTACACCTTCAGCCTTGGCTCTGGTTCAGTTTCTTGGCGTTCTACACGCTCGTCTTCTGTTCTCAGCTCCAGTTGTGAGGCTGAGATCTACGCCACAGCCATGGCTGCACAGGAGTTACGCTGGCTCACCTACCTGCTGACCGACTTGGGAGAGCGGCCTCGTTCTCCTCCAGTGCTGTACGTCGACAACAAGGCTGCCATTGCCTTGTGTGAGGAGCACAGACTGGAGGACAGAACGAAGCATATCGCTCTGCGCTACTTCCTTGCTCGAGAGCTGCAGCAGCGCGGTCAGCTTCGTCTGCGTTACGTGGCCACTCGGGCCAACACTGCTGATGTGTTCACCAAGGCGCTTCAGCCTTGTGACCATCAGCGCTTCTGTACTGTTCTAGGCCTCGTGCCTACTGGGCCTCACTTGCTTACTTCTTGACTCTGCTTGTACTGTGATCTCTATATATATACCTGCTTGTTTACTCTTGCTAGGTTGTGATCACTGTATCTCTTGTTATACTATCAACCTGCATGTGAACTGGTCTTGTGACCACTTGCTTGTGCTCAGAATTTGTGTGGTTTCCTTGAGATCCACCCTGAGATTGCTTTGCTTTGCTTTGACTGGTCTTGTGACCATCTGGTTGTCTCCCACTTAGCCTATGGGGGTGTGTCAAACATTATATGTTTATATTGTGTAGGCTATAGTGGGTTTAGCCTTAGGGGGTACAGCTTTGTTAGGGTTTCCTACTTGTATCCCCCTCCTACCTAGTTTCACCCATTCTTGTTCTATTCTAGATTCTAACAGCGAAGAGAGAGGGGAAGCGAGGGAGGGAACGAGAGGCGAAGAGGGGGAAAGGAGGAAATGAGAAGAAAGGGTAGAAGGGGGAGGGGAGGGAAAAGAGGGTTCAAGGAGAGAAGGGAGGGAAGGGAGGAGGTAGTGTGTGGGGATAAGGGCGAAAAGAGTGGAGGGAGAGGAGGGGAGTGTTTGGAAATAAGGTAAGGGGGGAAACTGCGCATAGGAAACGGGAGAAATTGCGCGTAGGGAAGGGGGGAAATTGCGCGTAGGGAAAGGGGAAACTGCGTGTAGGAAAGGGGGAAACTACGCATAGGGACGGGGAAATTGCGTGTAGGGAAGGGGGACTGATTGCGCGTAGGGAACGGGGAAACTGCGCATAGGAAACGGGGGAAATTGCGCGTAGGGAAGGGGGGAAACTGCGCATAGGGAAAGGGGGGGGAATGCGTGTATGGAAGGGGGGAAAATGCGCGTAGGGAAAGGGGGGGAATGCGCGTATGGAAGGGGGGAGAATGCGCGTAGGGAGGCGGGGTGGCTGCACGTAGGGAAGGGGGAGAGGGAAGAGGGCAGGAAGGCGAGAGGCGGAGAGGGACGGGACGGACCAAAGGGAAGAGAGCGACATGGGCGACGGGAGGGGCGGAAGCGATGGGAGGGACAAGAGGGACGGGAGGGACGGAAGCGACGGGAGGGACAGGTGGGAGGAGGGACGGGAGGAACGGGAAGAGGGACGGGAGGGACGGGAAGAGGGACGGGAGGGACGGAACGAGCGGGAGCGAAGGGAGGAGCGGGAGCGTCGGGAGGTGTGGGAGCGGCGGGAGGAGTGGGAGCGGGATCGACGGGAGGAGCGGGAGCGTCGGGAGTGGAAAGCGGTGAGCGACGGGATGGGAAAGCTTGGGCGACACTCAGAGAAAAGAATGGGCGAAGGGCGCGGGAAAGAAGCGCCTTGAAAAAAGCGACTGGAGGGGAAGTGTAATCGCTACCGCGGCGAATGGAACATCACGTATCGGGTCGAGTCCGTTGACTATATATGATATGGCTGTCGCACGTGCGGTTTCAGTGACGTGTAGGGTGCTTGTGACGGTGGCGATGTTGCTCGCAAAATATTCGCGCTCATCGCATGATGCGGGCCATCAGATTGGGTGAGACATGATGGACGATAATGACCGATACATTACATCTGATGAAGACTAAGCCTACTTGGGTGATGCGTAGTTATTCAGGGGAGGGAGTGACAGATTTCCTGACTATGTCGGACGAAGGGAGTAAAGCTTCTAACGGGAAGGATGAGAAGGACTAGAGTTGCAGAATGGACAGGCGGGATTGAGTGTGCTGGGAAAGAACTACAATAGTCTACGCTATGGAGGCTCTATCAAACTAGATGTTTGTGTTCTCTCTAGGCTATAGTGGGTTAGCCTACAAGGGGTACAACACATTAGGGTTAGTACTTGTACCCAACTCATTCATAGTTCATTCATTCCTGCACAATGATTCTGACATGGTAGCAGGAAACCTGTTAAGTTTTTAGGGCTCACCGATAGTTCCGCTTGTTCCAGCCCGAAGCGCCCTTGCGCTGTCCGGCCCTGCTCGCAAAGTGTCGCGCTGCCCTGCAGCTACTCGCACTCCCTGCCCCCCGCACGTCGCGCTCTGCTGCAGCCTGCGAGTCGCGCCCTGCTGCCCTGCCCAGCGCGCGCCGCCCTGCCCTGCAGCCCGCGCCCAGCTGCCCTGCAGCCCGCGCCCAGCTGCCCTGCAGCCCGTGCATCGCGCTGCCCTGCCCTTAGGCCCGTGCGCCGCCCTGCCCTGCAGCTCGCGAGCCACGCTGCCCTGCCCTGCAGCCCAGCGCGTCGCGCCCTGCTGCCCTGCCTAGCGCGTTGCGCCCTGCTGCCCTGCCCAGCGCGACGCGCCCTACTGCCCCGCGCGTCGCGCCCTGCTGCCCTGCCCAGCGCGACGCGCCCTACTGCCCCGCGCGTCGCGCCCTGCTGCAGCCCACACGTCGCACCCTATTGCAGCCCGCGCGTCGCGCTCTGCTGCCCCGCGCGTCGCGCCCTGCAGCCCTGCATAGCGTGCGCCCTGCTGCCCTGTCCACCGCGCGCCCTGCCCTGCAGTCCACAACGTGCCCTACCTTGCCCAGCCGCACCGCCCAGCCTGGCCGAGCCGCGCCGCCCAGCCCGAGCCGCCCTGCCCAACCTGAGCCGCGCCGCCCTACCTCGATCACCAGCCCCACCGAGCCGCCCTGCTGCTACTACTGCTCCTACTGCTGCTCGTGCTACTGCTGCAGTTGGTGGAGGTGCTGCTGGGAGTGCTGGGAGTGCTGCTGGTGCTGGAGGTGCGACTGGGAGTGCTGGAGGTGCTGCTGGCGCTGGAGGTGCTGCTGGCGCTGGAGGTGCTGGACCTACTATTGACCGTCACTGCCTGTCATTGTCAAACTTATATATAACTTACATGTGTAGGCTGTAGTGGGGTAGCCCATAAGGGGTACAACCCAATTAGGGTTAGCAATTGTACCCAACTCTTTGCTAGTTCATTCATTCTCGTTCATTCTTTCTGACATGGTTTCAGAGCAGGTCCCTTCTAGGACCGTTTTTTTGGGCCCACCACCTGCTGCCCTGCTAGCCACCCTCGCGACCCGTAGCCCCCCCCTAGGCCCCGGCCCGTCGCCCCTAGCCCGGCCCCTTGGCCCCGTCGCCCCTAGACTCGGCCCCTTGGCCCCGTCGCCCCTAGACTCGGCCCCTTGGCCTCGTCGTCCCTAGCCGCGGCCCCTCGGCCCCGTCGCCCCTAGCCGCGACCCCTCGGCCCCCGTCGCCCCTAGCCGCGACCCCTCGCTCCGTTGCCCCTAGTCGCGGCCCCGTCGCCCCTAGCCTCGGCCCCGTGGCCCCTCGCGACCAGCGCCCCTAGCCGCAGCCCCTCGGCCCCGTCGCCCCTAGCCGCGGCCCCTCGGCCCCCGTCGCCCCGTCGCCCCTAGTCGCGACCCCTCGCCCCGTCCCCCCTAGTCGCGGCCCCGTCGCCCCTAGCCTCGGCCCCGTGGCCCCTCGCGACCAGCGCCCCTAGCCGCGGCCCCTCGGCCCCGTTGCCCCTAGCCGCGGCCCCTCGGCCCTCGTCGCCCCATCGCCCCTAGCCGCGACCCGTCGCCCCGTCGCCCCTAGTCGCGGCCCCGTCGCCCCTAGCCTCGGCCCCGTGGCCCCTCGCGACACGACGCCCCTAGCCACCCCCCCCCCCCCCTCGCGACCCGTCGCCCCTAGCTGTGGCCCCTCGGCCCCGTCGCCCCTAGCCGTGGCCCCTTGCGACCCGTCGCCCCGTCGCCCCTAGCTCTCAGCCCCTCGGCCCCCCACCCCCCCCTTCGTGTTTGGCCCCTCGGCCCCTAGGCCCCTCGGCCCCCCCCTTCGTGTTTGGCCCCTTGGCCCCTAGGCCCCTCGGCCCCTCTGCCCCTCGGCCCCTAGGCCCCTAGGCTACTCGGCCCCTCAGCCCCTTCGACCTCGGCACCTCGGCCCCTTGGCTCCTAGGCCCCAGGCCCCTCGGCCCCTTGGCCCCTCGGCCCCTCGCCCCCCCCTCCCCCCCCCCCCCCCCTTCGTGTTTGGCCCATCGGCCCCTAGACCCCAGGCCCCTCGGCCCCTCGGCCCCTAGGCCCCAGGCCCCCCCCTCGGCCCCTTGGCCCCTCGGCCCTTAGGCCCCTTCGTGTTTGGCCCCTCGGCCCCCAGGCCCCTCGGCCCCTTCGACCTCGGCCCCTAGGCCCCTCTGCTCCTTGGCCTCTCTGCCCCTGCTACTGCTACTGCTGCTACTGCGTGCTGCGCCACTATGGCTTCGCTTCGAGTTCTTGCGTTCGATCATGAGGGTATACCGGTTCAGTTTGACACGTGGCTCGACGACTTGCAGCTGTACCTACTGAGCGATTCTAAGGACAGCGTGTCGATGTTTGACCTCGCGTCACGTGCCGCTACTGCCCCTCCCGCCACAGCTGAGAGTGCGACTCGCTCCCAGTGGCTTACGCGCGACGTTGCTGCACGATTAGCCATTCGCAACCACCTGCCGCTAGCCGAATATGCTCACTTTGGACAGCACAGGACAGCACAGGCCCTGTACGACGCTGTAGTCACTCGCTACTCCTCGCCTGCCACTGCTGCGCTAGGCCGACTGCTCTTGCCCTACCTATTTCCAGAGCTGTCAGCTTTTGCCACAGTGGAGGACCTGGTTTCCCACCTGTGCACCAGCGATGCTCGTTACCGAGCTACCGTCCCTGCTGAGTTCCTTGAGAGGAACCAGCCCCCGATGTTCATCACCCTCTACTTCATAGTCACTCACCTCCCTGACTCTCTTCGCTCTGTCAGGGACCACTTTCTCTCCCTTGACCCCACCTCCCTCACTGTTGACCTCCTCGAGCAGCATCTCCTCGCAGTTGAGACTAGTGCAGTTGCTGTAGGTGCTTCTCGTGGCACTCCGCGCCCGCCCTTCTTTGAGGGGTGCTCCCCCTCCCCCCTTGCCCACTCCTACGCCTCTGCTGCTGCTGCAGACGTCTCTGTTGCTGAGGACGTCGGGGCTGCTTCTGCTAGTGCGAAGCGCCGCAGCAGCAAGGACAAGGGTGGCAGGGGTGGTGGAGGTGGCAGCGGTGGTGGTGGAGGTGGCAGCGGGAGTGGTGGTGGGGGCAGCGGCGGAGGTAGTGGAGGCAGTGGGGGTGGTGGCGGCGGTGGGACTGGTGGCGGGAGTGGGGGCTGTGGTGGCGCCGGTGGAGGCAGCGGTGGGAGTGGCGGCAGTGGAGGCGGTGGGACTGGAGGCAGTAGGACTGGACCTCGGCATGGAGGCCCTGGTGGTGGTCAGCGGCAGCAGCAACAGCGTCGGAGCGAGACCCAGTCGCCCGAGCAGCTCCGTGAGTGGTTGTTTCAGCGTGGGACGTCTGGGGGTAGTGATAGCTGCCCGTATGTCATTCGCACGGGTGTTCGTGCTGGTCAAACATGCGGGAAGCTTCACACTCAGCACCGCTGCTTCTCCCGCCTCGACAACGCTTGGCGTGCTGAGTTTGGTGACGACGTCGAGCTCCCTCGCTGGGCAGATCTACTTAGGTCTAGGATTGCTATCTTTGACCTAGAATTTGATGCTATTCTTTCTGCTATGTATGCTTTGTCTGTTAGTGCTGAGGATGACTGTTACCGGTGTGTGCCGCTTGACCCAGGTATAGCTGCTGCTGCTCTAGGTGCTAGTGAGTCTGGTACTCTCCCTGGTACTGCGCCTGCTGAGGCCTTGCACACCTTCACGTTGGACTCAGGCGCCTCGCGCTGTTTCTTTCGTGACAGCACCA